CAGCCATTTAAATTTAAATGAAGCCGCGATTATTTTAATCGCGGCTTCATTTCCCTTTTCCGATCTGGCTAATCTACATGCCTCCGTCGAAGGAGGCATGTAGTCTAGACACACCCTAGTTGGCAATACAGGTATAGAACTCCTGTTCAGATGGAACTCCTGTTCAGATCAGAACTTCTAGATCAGATAAAGTACCCAGTAGAAATTCTGTTTTTCATCACAAGCTTTAGAATAGCCTTCACACTGGAAGAACGTCCCCAAAAGCTGGTACTCAGCTCCCTACTATGATACTTTCTCTTTATTTGGTGTTTGCTAAATGGCCCAAAACAATAGTTCCATGAATTCCTGTTGATTCAAGGCTTAATTCTGTCACCCTGGAAAAGTATCTTATTCCTACTGATTTTAATGAGAACTCACAAAATAAGGTGCTGCTGAAAGCAAGCAAGGGGAACAAACTCATGCCTCCAATCAGCAAGGTGTAATAGATGCAGCCTGTATGGAAGAAAATGAAATTAAAAATTAATAGTTTTAATTGCACACAGGCAACAGAAAATGCTGGAGTCAATATTCAGTGGTCACTTTTCACTGCAGCTGCAAAGTAAGAATCTTGCAGTTTCACTTTTTAAATATAAAGAATTATAAAAAAATCTATATGGCTCCTAAGGTCCAACCTTTTGAGCTGCCCCAGCTCAAGTTATTCCCAGGCATGATTGCTATTTTAAAAGTCAGTAAGACAGCAGGTTTTTGACAGAGGCTGAGAGCACTGCAGCATGATTTGCTGAGCTCTCCACTCTCTGGAAGGAATGTGTGCTGCTCTAAAGTGACATCTACTGGTTGATCAAGAGTAGCTAACTAAGTGCCTACAAAAGCTCCATCCTCGGAGCAAGAAATGTCACTCAGACCATGTCTATATTTATGCACCGGAGCTGGAGATCAATCTTCTGGCATTTGATTTAGCGAGGTTAGTAAACACCCGCTAAATCAAATGCTGAGGGCACCCCTAGTCAGCGCCAGTACTTCTTGTAGTCACAAAGAGTAAGGAAGACAATGGGGCTGTGTCTAGACTGCATCCCTCTGCTGACAGAGGGATGCAACTCAAGCACTTCAGAAGTGCAAATGAGCCTGGGATTTAAATATCCCGGGCTTCATTTGCATACTCATGTTCCAACGCTGAGGAGTACAGGATCTGCCGGAAAAGCCTCCGCTGTTGGCAGAGCTGCGGCTACACTTTACTTTCACTTTCGACACTGAGCCTGATTGCCACAGCGTCAGAACGTGAGTATGCAAATGAAGCCCAGAATATTTAAATCCTGGGCTCATTTGCACTTCCGAAGTGCTTGATTTGCATCCCTCTGTCGGCGGAGGGATGCAGTCTAGACGTAGCCTGGGAGCATTTGCTCCTGTCAGCTTCCCACTGTGAAGACGGCACCAAGCTTGGCTTAAGGAATGTGGATTCTAGCTAGGTTATTTATCTACTGGAGTTGCGTAATTTAAGCTAACCTTCTCAGTCTAGTATAGACCTGGCCTCAGTCTGCAAGGTCAGCACAAAGGAAAGGTGAGGCTACCTGCGAACAGTCCTTGATGGCACTGACCTGTGGTCCATGCTGCTTAAACTCCCTCATTCCCAGCCTTGATCAGAATGCAGCCTGTAATGAAGGTTACATTGCATGGAGTAAAGGCAAATGTCAATTATAGCTCTGGAAAGGACGGGAAAAAAGAGTGGGGACACTAAAGGGCTTGATTCTGTAAACCTTTAGTCATGTGAGCAGCAGTTGCCTCCTTTACTTGAACAGCAGTAAGGGTTTCCTGGTTTGGGCACTGGTTACTTTGCAGCATCTCAAGAAGGGGAGATATATTATTCACCGTCACCATGAATAATTTGTAATTAAGTTTTCTAATACTTTACCGCACAGGTTTTTCTCCATTTGTGCCTGGATTCCTATGACAATACATGTAAGTAAATTAGAATTATTTTAAAAATGCAAATTTACTATGAAAACTGGACCATGTGGACTTCTCTGAAGGAAGTAGAGTAAAACAGCTTTTATTTCAAGAAATATTGCTTCTAGACTTCCCTGAAGCCAGAATTGTTCTATAAAAGTATCACAGAAATATTGTACAAGATTTAAAAAAACCCACAGTTTTTATCCTAATAACTTGAAATCTATTTACAAATAGCATCACTCATGACCATAAATACGTTTGTTCTGTCATTCAACCCATGGCACATACATCAGATACTCAGCTAGTTAATTTTTAACATATTCACAGAGTTCATCATAAAGACTGCTTCTTAAAATTATTAAAATCCTACTAAAAGAATCTGCTTTTAAAATAGTTCAACTTAAACACTTAAAGCAAAAGAACATAAATTTAACCTGCAGTGCTTGCAATAGCCTAAACCCCCCACTAAGCTAAATACATATAACATAAGGAACTTTAATGTGAACTGGAAATGGTGGAAATACATCTGTATGAGGTAATTCTTTTTATTTTATTTGTTTGCTATTTATGTTAAAAAAACTAAAATATTATGTTACCAACAGTACAAATTTTCAAAGTCAATTTTGTATTCTATGTTTGGTAAAATCTAGGGGAAAAAATTCTTTAGAACACAATCATAACAACAAAAGAAGTCTAGCCTACTATTCTGACCACATTTTATGCCTTTTATATCTAAAATATGTAACTTCAATATGATTTTACCATGCCCTTTACTGCCTTTAAAAACATTTTAAAGTCTCAAAATGATCAAAATACTTTCTGAAAACATAAAAATATTGTCCAGAATAATAAAATAAAAAATGGCAACAAAGCGTATTCTACTCATGTAAATCTTTGCAAGGATATCAGCAAATAATCTAAAAAAGCAGAGTTTATTTCCTTATAATACCAATATTTAAAGTACATTTGCTGTGGAACATAGAGGAAATAAGCCAATTAAAAAAAATCCTCATCCAGTAAGCAAAATAAATTTAAGAAATTCAAGGCAACGAAACATGCAATATGCTGCTAAAATATTATTTGACCAATTTGTCTTGGTCCATGCTGAATATCCATGCTGAATATCTCTTTCCTGTCAACTCATTTTATTATTTCACAATTGCGTCTAAGAATTAGGAAACCAAGAACATATAAAAGATCATCTTAATAAATGGTCTGGCAGACAGATTACAAAAGTGCAATATCATTTACTCAAAAGCGTGACAAGAAATTCCAGTGGTTAAAAATAATTTATCAAAAATACATTATGCCGATCGCATGGGTGGGACTGTGACATTCATTTATGTAGGACCTTTTAGAAACAAAAAAGCAATTCAATGCTCTTAGTTAAGGAAATCATTACAAGTCTAGGAAATGTGTGCATCACTGCACTATCAAGTTAACACTGTTTCTTTTTTAATACTGCCGGAACCTAGTTTCTCAGTTATGGAAAACTGGTGTGAAATAGTGTGTGTGTGTGTGTGTGTGTGTGTGTGTGTGTTCATTTCAGCTGCAAAATGTATCTGCAATAAACATGGAATGTCATTTGTCGTGATTACCATTACTAGTCTACTGATCAAAAATAAAGGGACTCATATATAGTTTGCAATTTGATCTAATCCAAGGAGAGTGGAGATGAGGCACTGCCTTCTACATTGAGTATTTGTGAAGACTCTCCTTCAAAGTTATGTTCCATCTTTTCCCACACAGTCTCCATTTTCTGAGACCTGATAGATAGATCCCTGATGGAGACATTTACAGCTTGATGAACAGTGGGTTCATCAGAACTCACAGGAAGGTATAGCTGATCTTCAAAAATTTCCTCTACTGGGTCACCATCCTGGTGAGAGTCTTTCTGAAGAATGCTAACTGACTGTAGAATGAAGCTATGCCTGGACTCCAGCTCTGTCAAACCGTTTCCACTTAAATCCATTTCAAAACTGCCTAACTCTTTATCCTCCAACCATTTTTCAGCTTGATGATTTCTCCAGTGTGCAGAATTCAAACTACTTTTCTCAGGAATATCATTATTTAATTCAAGTTTCCTCACTTGACTTAAAATTACAGTGCTCAAAGCTAGGGCTGCCAAATCAGTTGGCACGACAGGCTGAAACTCTTCTGCAATCAGACCACTTGAGTCTTCGTCTGACTCGGCAGAGGTCAGTTCCCCCCAGGTTAATGGAATATGTGATTCATCTAAGTACCCATTGTTCTGAGCAGTTTTAGTTTTGTCTGTTTTATTTTGCTCATAGTAACTGGTCAGCAGTGCAAACATTCTATCTAGATCCTTCAAGTAATTAGTCCAGTCATCCAGACTAAGTCTATAGTTGTATCTGTATTCGTACAAACTTTCATTCACACTGTATAAATCTTCCAGTCCTTGCCAGTTGACGTCCTCTGTGAAATTTGGCAGGTTAGCCTTCCCATCCATCCCATAGTTGTCCTCTGTTAAAAGAAAGAAAAAAGTCTAATGGGGACCATCACCTTAGAAATGCATGCAAAGATTCCACATACATTTCTTTGCTGTTCAAATTAGATAAAAGCACTAACCATTCCTAAGATACTTGTCTAATGAGTATTACACTCAACATTTTCCATCAGATCAGTAATATGGCCAAACAGGTTAAATTCTCATCTTATATGTGCATACACGACTCCTGCTGAGCAGAAAGGTACAAATTCTGCCTTCAGCTACTCCTGTTTAACCACAGTAAAGTCAATAGTGTAACCGAGAGCAGATTCTGGCCCAGAGGGATCTTTGTGCAGGAAGCCAAGGCCAAACCTGCTCCCCCCCATTCCACCCTAATACCACAGATGTAGACAAACTGCTCCAATCTATTGGCCTTTCACAACTGCCATGGTTTTTTTTTTAAATACCCACACTGGAATGGGGAATAAACAAATAAGTGATCAAATGGGCAGTCAAGCCTGCAAACCCTCAATGAGCTGATCTTCCATAAAGCAAATGGGAATTTGGTGCATGAATACATGTGGCATCTTGTCAGAGCTACCACTTATCTGCCTGAATTCTTCCTTCAGATACTGAAGAGAAAATGTTCTTTAATAAACAGCAGTTATGACTAGGCTTGGAATGATTTTTTTTTAATCCACAAATGTTGATTTCACCGTACACACACAAGTGCATGAAAAAATATTTTAATTAATAATAATCAAGATTCACGGAGAGGCACTGTAACAAAAATATTGCTTGAAAACTTAATAGAATTTGATTAAATGATATTTGCCTTGCATATTTTGTCATGTGATGTTGACAGTTTGTTCTTTAAGTGTTAAAATGCTTTAGCTTTTTGAATCTCAATTATTAGTGTTGTTAACTGACCTCCCTTCACCCTGTAAACTTCCTCAACTGTAAAATTTTAACATCAATACAAATGTAAAAACATCCCATAAACATTAATATAGTTCATCCATATCATTAAACCAGAATTCTGCCAACAGTAGTCATAAGAGATTTTTTTTTGTAAGCATGAATCTCAGTTGACAGAGTACATAGATAAAAAAGCTTTGTAAAAAATCTTCAGTGGAATCCAATTATAGGACTAATTAATTTTAAAGCAATAGAATAGCAAATTTTGTGAAAAATTATGTAGCATATAATGTTAGAGGTGCAGTAGTTTAAAGTTTTTTTAAAAAAATTAAATGCTTATTACACTGTCTCCTTTTTTGTTTCTTTGTTTTTTAAATTTAAGGCCAAGCCTACATGGAAAATGCTGCAGCAAAAACGCTATTATGCTGACAGCAGAGCCTCTCCTGGTGGCATAGTTAATCCATCTCTGCAAGAGGTGGTAACTATGCCAATGAGAAAAGCCCTCCTGTTGACTTAGCACTATCTACAACAGGGTTTGTGGATTTTTTACATGCCTGAACAACACAGTAATACTGATCTATGTCTATCATATAGACCTGGTCTAAGAGGAACATTTAGCTATACAGGCCTGATGCTGCACTCCTTAGAAAAAAAAGACATGAGCAAACTTTGCCTGGGCAATGAATGTCATCAGATGCCTGTAATAGCAAGTCAGCTGGATTTTATTATAGCTTATCCAAGTGGGAAAAAAAGACAAAATATTAAGGAAACCTAGCTGTGGCAGTTTTTGAAATATGATCAAAGTCCCCAAAATATTTACCCGTTGTAAAATATATTACCCTAATTGAGTGTAACTTAGCTTGACATTTGTTTTATAACATGTAACATCCCTTACTGATGGGCACCACTAGCTCATTGCATGTATTATAAGGGTTCTGTTCATCTCAAATGTTTAGTCTACAAGGAAGAATACAAAAAACGATGAGACACACAGTGGAAAACTCAAAGAACGCAGTAGAAATCGCCTCTCTGACAATTTAAAAAAAAAAATTAATAGCTAATGAAAGAAGAACCTGCCACAGTGCAGGCGGGATGCCCTAAATAACCTTTTACAACAACATATGTAATCCTGTAGTTTTATTTAATAGTTTTAATCTACATTGGATCCTCCATGTTTCAGATGGATCCTTAGCAAGTTTATGTCTTGTACTTTAACTTGCCCCCTTCCGTTATTCATGAGGCTGAAGTTGGAATCTTCAGCTCCTTATGGATGGTTCCTCGTTCCTTATTCAAAGACCAGAATTATTTTAAAACATCGCTGTAAGATTAATTTTTCAGAAATTTCAGCAAATGAATGTACTGCATGTAATAAAAGTTTAAATGACTGATCTTTTATTTATTAATTAAATACAAAAGTGGATTTTGACTGTCTATACATGACAAAATGTCTCAGGTCACCCTGGACCAAAACTTTGTTCCTGCCCATTATGCTTTTTCACAACATTCCTCCACCCCCAACTGCCACATTGAACATAGACCCTGAATAAGAAGCTGGGTATGTAACAAAACACATATTAGAGTTGCCCCAAGTGACACGTCCCTTTGGCTGTTATTTCACTGTAAAACAATGAAGATATGCCACTCCCAATGGTAAACCTTTAATGACACATACATTACCCCATCTTTTGTGTCTTCGGTGTTAGTAAACACACCATCATGTATGTAGAATTCTCCTAAATTCAATATTCAGCCAACTTGTTGCAAATCCAACTCCAATATTTTCACAAAGATTATATGATGAGTACAAATTAAGTCTCTAGGAACTTTGGCTTCTTGTTAGATGAATTAAGAAAAGGGAAAATGAGTAAATTTATTGAAATGTGTTTAATTTGTGTTTCTGATATAAATAATTTGTTATGATTTCCATGGCATCTTTTGTGTACCTGTATTATACAACAAAAATATGAAAATCCATGCTGAATATCAGGCTGGCCCCAGGAAGAGAGGACTAACTTAGCCCTCTCTCACCGCGGCAGCTTGGTTTGAGGGGAGACGCGCCTCTACATGGCCGCTGTAGCTCCAGTAGAACACATTCAGGGGAGGGATGCATGTCTCTCAGCTGGGGCAGGTCCATGTTCATCTGCTCCCTAAGCTTCCTTGCCAGAGTGATGAATGCAACAAACAGTGCACTTTCCCCTCACTCCTGATGAAGTCCAACAGCCAGAAATATCTCTGCATGAATTGGAGGGGAAAGGGGAGCTTCAGCCAACCTGCCCTTCTAAAAGGCACCTTTTGTTCAGGGGTGGGGCAGTCCTGGACAGAGGCGGGGCATCCCCAGCCAGCCACTCTTACTTGCCTGGTGATTCTCTCTCTTTTCTGTATGATTTTATGAGACTCAATCTCATTCCAGGCACATCCCATTGTCCTGGCACAGCCAAACCTTTACCTTGCTTTTAAGTTATGATAAGAAGAAGCTATATACCAAATGTGGTGATCCTAGCTCAAACGGTTTAGTAAGAGTTCTTGATCAGACAGACAGATGGACAGACAGAATGACAGACTCTGTCAAATCTATAGTAGAACATAAGAGCATATGAACATAAGAATGGCCATACTGGACCAGACCAATGGTCTATCTAGCCCAGTATCCTGTGGCCAATGCCCAAAAGAGAGGGAACAGAACAGGTAATCATCAAATGATCCCTCGCTTGTCATCCATTTCCAGTCTGTGTCAAACAGAAGCTAGGGATACCATTCCTACCCATGCTGGCTAATAAATATTGATGGACCTACTCGCCATAGACTAGCAGATTTACCTGGCTTGGGTGTGTAACTCAAGAAATGATTGGTGGGGTTTTGTTGGGAAATAAAGGGGAAATTTATGTAAATTATTGTAATTTTCAAAAAGGAGGTCATGGCCTGGTTCCATGAGGATCCATGCAGGGGTGGGGGGAAGACGGCATCCCTCAGCCCAGTGAGAAGCCACACGAGGGGAGGAGGGGAAAGGAATCCCCAGGCCCTGTGAGAAGGCATGGCGGGGAGGGAGCGGTGGAGAGATAGGGAAACCACAAAGTTGTATCTTAGGCCAGATCTTCACTTGCCATGCAGGAGATCGATCCTCTGGCATTCAATTTAGCTTATCTAGAAGAGACCCACTATATCAAATGCTGAGGTCGGCTCTGGTCAGTGCTGGTACACCTTGCAGTTGCGAGGAGTAAGGGAAGCCAATGGGAGAAAGATGGTGCCAAGCTTGGCTTAAGGTAAGCCAACTCCAGCTATGTATTTTATGTAGCTGAAGGTGCATACCATAACCCAGCCTTCCAGGTCTAGTGTAGACCTGGCCTCTGTTGTGAACCAAGTTACCCATAAGGAAGACATATTTTAATAGGAAAACCACTCAACTGCAAATGCTCTTAGGCAAGTTTTGACACATATTTTAATTCTCTGGGTAAATGCAAGTGGTGGGGTAGATAGTGATAGTGTAATTTATAATTTAATATTCTGGTTCACTGCTAAGTGGCATACCCTAGATAGACAATGCAATCTGGCATTATCCACACTTCTCAGCTAGAAGTGGAAATGCGTCCCCATCTTCCTTTCAGAGCACTACAGACAAAATCTTAAAAACTTGACTTTGTGTTTGGGTAAGAATTTCATCCCTAGAGTAGCTCAAGGAATAAAACATCCACTGATGGCAAATCTGGATCTCACTCATAAGTCACATCATACAGCATATCAGTTTAGTTTGTATTCCACAATATGCACCACTTCACCAGCTACTGAAACTAGGCCAGAAACACCTCTCTTAGTTTGTTTGTGTATTAACAGATATGATTATGAGAACATCAATCTGGTGGTGAAATGTGCCATTTTGGGGATTTCTGAAAAAGGATAAGAAACAAAACCCAACAATAAAAAGCTCAAGAGAACATATAGGCCTATAAAATTGCAACACTGTAAACACAAAGATCGATTTTCTTATCAACATTCTGGGGACTTTCTAGGTGGGAGGAAGAGGGGAAGAGGCTAGATGAAGTAATAGAAGGGAGGCACTATTAATGAAACCTCCCAATGCATCAACTTAAGTATAGATAATACAATAATGACAATTGTACTATGCTCTTATAGTAGCACAACTGTCATTTTGTCCAATTGCCAAATGAAATACTATTCTGAGTGAACTGATATACTGCAAATCCCATTGTCAACTAGCCACATAAGTCATTTCAGGGCCAGGATAGCAGCAGAAGCTGTTTAATGTCTTTAACGGCAGCCAAAAAGTAGAACATCTTTCATATATAAGAAAAAACAGAATAACTTATACAGCAGTTTAAGCAACAGGAAAGCGATATTTTCATTCCCTAGAATTGACTGCATGCTGATTGGGTAAGTGAGTTACTTCAGATGCTGTAAACCCACATTAAAGAATGAACTTGGCATAAATTATGATAAAAATATAACAGAATAACAGAAAAATGATTCCCCCTGCAATAAATCAAATATTGTTAAAACTAAACATGGAGGAGGCAAATAGGGAAAAAATTATATGATGAATATCAAAGTGCTTTTGTTCTTGAAGTATTTTGCAACTGATCAGATAAATAGGATAAGAACCAATGCAGAAAAATGCTGCCTGCTAAGGCTACATACATTAGCTTACATCGTGGCTCTCTCTTCTCAAACATTGCTCCAGCTATAATTCATGGCTGAGATTCCTTGCAGCTTCCTAAGGGATCTGGATATTCACATCACATCAAGAATAATGGCAAATGGGCCTCAAAATCCTGCAGCTTTAAAAGTCTCAGCCTGTTTGCATAGCTCATGGTTACCCTGAGCAGCTGTTTATGTAGAGGCAAGTTCTGCCCTTCAGCACAGAGCTCCCATAATAGGTGCTTCCTGAATGCATCAGGTAGAAACGAGCACGCAGTGTTCTCTCTCGATGCTGGCATTAAACAAACTGTACTGAGTTCTGGGTGGACATATACACAACTAATACGGTTATACTAGCTATAAATGAACATATTTAATTGTATGTTAAATTCTATATTAAAGCATTTAAAATATCAACATGTCTAAGGTGAGTTATTAAGCAGGCCCACATAACACCCAAGCAGTATTTAAAAAGACTCATAACAGCATGGAACTACAAGTTTAACTTCTGTTGTCTGGGACACGCTGGTATGCCAACATCTGTGGTCCAACAGGATCACAGATGTTGCTGGACCTCAGAGCCCCAGTGAAATAAGTTGCCTGTGGCTGGGACCAAAGCTGGTCTGGCAGCAGGTAGCATATAGGAGCAGTGGCCTGGGGGCATGGAGCCCGGCCAGCAGACGAAGCAGGATTGGGTGGGGAGCTTCACCGGTCCCATTGCTGCAGCTGCTGGGGCTGTGGAGCTGCTGCTAGTTGGGGCCATGGAGCCCTGGCAGCTGGGATAGAGCTTTGTCAATTGGGGCCAGGGAGCCCTAATGGCCAGGAGGTGAGCCCCTGCAGCTGGGGACATGGAGCTGTTGCCTCCAACTGGAGGCAGGGAGGCCCAGCAGACAGAGACATGGAACTGCTGCCAGGCAGAAGTAGAGAGCCCCGGTGGCTGAGAACGGGGCTGCAGCCTGGAGGGGAGCCTTGCCTTGAGCCAGGGGCAGGGCACTGGCTGGGCCAGTGGCCAGAAGGGGACAGCCCAGTGCCTGACCTTCCCTGGTCTGGTAAACTCCCTCCTTTGGGGCCACTCAGGTCCTGAGGGTGCTGGATCAGGGAGGTCTGACCTGTACATTCTTTTTAATTCTGTGGTACATGAAGAATAGATTCCTTTCAGAGATTCCTTTAAATGATTATTAAGAAATTGTTAAAATTTCTTTTATAAATAATATCACATATTCACAAGGCTTGTAGGAGCTGAACCAAAAGTTCTGGGTACAAATACCTTTGACCTTTGAGAAACTCTGGGTTGACCTGTGATTTACAGGTCTGTATTATTTATTCAGCCTAAAAAAATAATGTTAAATGACTTGGTGAATCAGTGGTTATAATGAGTTCACTACTAAACTTTATGACAAAAATGTCATCTAATGATACATGGTGCCATATTATTTTATGCAGGCCTCCAACATAAAAATGCCATCTCTGTTAGATGTAAAGTTAAAAGTAGCAACAAAAATGCTTGCAAGAATGTCTTCATATGTAAGATTTATAAAGGGCAGTTTTATTTTAAAAAATAAAATCAACAGAACTGAAGAATCTCATTCTGCTTTTGTAGTAAATAACTGTTTCCCATCAGCCTTTAACAAGAAATGCACAAAGCTTTGAAATAGTATAAGGTTACACCGAACAGCTCATCATATCCTCAGTCATGAATTGAGACAACTGGGAAAATACAAACTTGGTCCCACAGGGCAACAGCTGATTAAATTAGAGATTTATAAAACACCAAGATGCATTCTTTTCATTGATTCCTGACTGCTGTGTTTGATACACACAACCACCAATCACACACTCTGCTCGCCTCATAAAAAGGACCAGTTACACAACTGTTGCCTCCTGAGACCCAATTATGCCCTCACGTACACTGGTATAAATGACAAGTAATTCCAACACAGGGAATGAAGCTGCAAAGGTATTAAACTGATTGACAATGAGAACAGAACCAAGTCCAAATATCCTGGATCACTTGCTACCCTTAACTCTAACATGCAAAGCAGTGCTGCAGATAACCGGTAGAGTGATATTATTACTTCAGATTTCTCAATGTCTTTGCCCCTTTTTCTACTCTCTCTTTGAATCAGTTTTCCTCACTGGCAGCCATGAATAGTATGCATGTAGTATGCTTACTTATAGTAATCCTACCCCTAATTCTACCAGCGGGGGTCTCATCCAGTGCCCATTGAAATTAATGGGAAGATAGTTACTGATTTCAGGGAGTGCTTATAAATCAGAAATTATATTTAAACACATTTTTTTTATATTTACAAAACATCTATATAGTCTTCTTAAATAAAAAAATAGACTCTTTTTGCATAGATTCCCAATATAAGCATATAAGAAATACAGGCATGGAATAATTTAAATGAGCTGCATGAAATCTTGCTGTGATAATGAGCTAAGTTAAATGCAGAATGGCAGATCTAATAACCAATGGCCAGGTTCAATGGAGAATATTGTTAGAAAATGCATGCACCAAAGCTATGTTGTTTGCAACATGGCAGGATACAGACATTAGTTGAAATGGACTGGATCATGCAATTATTTGGAAAGAAGCTGCTGAGGAGAATAAAAAAGTGTGGATACCTGTGTGGATCATAGCTTCTTCCATCTTTATTTCCTGATATAGGAAAATACAAGAGTAACTTTTGTTAGTGTTTAGAACTTGTAAACCATTCACAATGTAGTTTCCATGCACAGCATCTAATCCTAAAAAGAAACGTATTTGTGTTAAATATAGACAGAGCTGCAGTCCAATAATAGTTTTCTGAAAGATGTGTTCAAAGAATAGAAAAAAATCCCACAAAAATCAGATTAGAAATGATAAATTGAAGGAATTTTTATGGAAAAAAGAGAAAAATAAGGTAGCAATGGTAGAACACATCCAGGGAATATTCCTGTAAAAGCACAATTTAAGATCAATCAAAATGAAGTGCAACAAATTCCAGATAAGGAAAGTATAAATTGCTTGGTTTTGTTTTGTTTTTTTAAATTCAGGAACACTTGTAAAAGGACTGTTCATATCTTGCTCTCCTTAAGCACAGAGAAAACATCTGTTCATTAAACGTACATTCTCGGTTGCATTGTAGAGTTTGCAGTTAATTACATAGACAGGTAGGAACAAGAGGAAACAAAGACTTTAACACACGGTATCCTGTGCTTCTGGGTGGGGATGCTATTGGGAAGCAAAGACTAACAAAATTAATCCTGTAGGCAAGAATAGAAACAAAGTCCTACAAATCTATCTAGAGTGTAGCAACTAAGCAGCATTAACATGTTCTTCTATTATTTTTAGTGCAATGCTTTTAATCATCTTTCTGCCCAACATATTTAATATCCATTGTAACCCATACATATCGGCAATGAAGCGTTCAAGTTTTTAGCCATGAAACAATAATACATAGTATGTACTGATAATGAGGTATGCACAATTAATCACAAGGTTTTCAGAGAGAGAGAGAGAGAGAGAGACAAATAGATGTAACTGATCCACTTAGTAATTAAAAAAACAAAAAAAACCCCACAAAGACATCCTAACAAAAACATATATGAATAGATTCTTCTTTCTTATTTTTTCTTTTTTACCTGTTTCAAGTCCCTTGGGTCGTGGATTGCACTGCTTGTAACCTTGACAACTTCTCAGTTCCATTAGCTGTATATGTAATTGATTCAAAATGCCTCTTTCCACGGTGTGTACTGTGTTTGTCAGCTGTGCATCAGAAAAAAAATATTTGTTAACAAGTGTGCAAAAATACAATATATTAATGCTATTAATGGTCCTGATGATATTAAAGAGTTTGTAACATGGAAATAGGTTTACCTGATAAGGATCAGTGTTCATATCAAAATATTCCAAGAATCCAGTTGCAAACTCACAGAAGAGAAAATTGTGTGTCTCATTAATTGTTCGCAAACACCAGTAGGTGTTGTTATTTGAACTTGTGCAAGCACAGAAAGACCCCACTGTAATTGGAAGAAAATGATTAGCTTTAGACAGAAAATAATAAACACTGATTTTCTTTTAGTAAAACCTGTATTAATTTTAGTTGTTTTACTTTATTTTTCTGAAAAGTTCTTTAGCTGTTAGATTCTATTCAGAAACATGAAACTTCCAAAATGAATTAAATAAAAAACATATATGAATACACATTTTTTCCTTTTATTTTGTTATATGTGACCACAAATATTTATATTTCCAGTTTGAAATATTTTTATTTTGCAAACTGGTCTGAAGACTAAGGGCAGAATTTCAGCTGTCAGTGGAACTATGAGAATTTCAGCTAGTTGAGTATCTGTCCCTAGATTTCAATGAGGTCTGGACAAGTGAACATTTTCAATGTCTACACAACAGCTGTTCCTAAGTTATACATGTGCAACTCCACCAGCAAACACTGAAAATAAATGAACGGATTTTGATCAATGTTTTAAGACAAACCAAACAAATAAACAATCTCCTTTGCATTGTGATCAAACCAAAATTCTTCTTTCTCCTTCCAAATTTTGGCTTTGCAAGCATATTAATGTGAATATTTTTGGCTTTGCAAGCATATTATTCTACAAGAAGAGGCTAAAACCCAAAGACAACAACAGCCCTGCACCTTTAAGCAGAGGAAGTTGCTCTGGCCTGGTCAACGGAAGGGAATAGTGGATGATATTAGGGGGAGGAGGGAGGGAAGAATTAAAAATGGCTGCAAAAGCAGCAGCATGGTCCCTGACTCATCCCCTGGGAATGCAGGGCTTGAAAGGGGGCAGACCAGTGCCTTGAGTCATCAGAGTGGTAGCAGGAGAAGCAGAGATAGCTATGGGAGCAGAGGCAATCTAGGCAATTGGACATTGGCATTTGGGTGTGCATCGAATCTGTGTAAGACCTCAGGGAGTAAGCTAGCATTAATTTGTTGCAATCTTAATACAAATGTTGGGCAACTGGCCATGCAGACACTGGTGTGGATCTGAGGACACAGCATAGTCTTTTGGGCCCATTGGCTTGTATTCAGGTTGCCTAAGGGTTCCTAGCTGGACTTTGGTGATGAAGCAATACTCAGCTGGCATGCAAAAAGGGGCATGTTAGGGGATCAGCTAATACCAATGCGGTATGCTCTATGAGCTTGTCAGTGGGCCCTAAATATAATTGTGGTGCATCTATGATTTGGGGGAACATGATTTGGAAATGCTTAAAGCTGTTGAGCTAAATCTCAGAGCAAGGAGGAACTTGAACTTTTTGCAGGAGTTAACTTTATTTGGTTAGACATTCCATGAGTCCTGCCCAGGGTAAATAAGGCAAGGAAGTATTCCTATATAGGGAGGTGGCCAAATTCCTTGGGTTCATAGGAGGGGAAGTAATTTCACACCCTGGCATAATATATAGGACAGCTGAGTTGCTTTGGGAGGATGGGGTTCACTAGTCTGACTTAGGTGCTGTCATGTTTTTAACCAATATAAAAGATGGCATTAGAAGATGACCAGGAACCCGACTAGGGATGAGGAGAAGGCAGCCAAGCTAATTGCTAATAGTGGCAAATGTCCTGTGCAGGTACTCCATAAGAAAGGAATAAATGGCTTGGAAAAGGTCTTAAAAAGAGACACCTTTTTCATTAAAGGAATGAATGTGGGGCATTTGGGGATTCTTGGGACTGGTGCAGCAAGGAGCCACCCCCCATTCTTATAGCCTACCTTAGCCCTACAATTGGAATGGGGGGTGGTGGTAAGGTCCCAGTAATGGATTTATTGAAGGGACCTGGAGGCAAAAAAAGTGGGAGCAGGTAAAAGCCTGCTGGTAACATGGGTTATCTGCTGGGTAGTCCCAGACATCTAATAACAAAGTTGCAGCCTCATTAAATCAATGTCAAATGTCCCTGAACTCCTTTTGGTATAGTCAGATGAGCACAGGAACACGTCTTTTTTGTATCTCTACAATCTGAACAGAGGCCTTTAGATATTTATATTAAAGTATAAATAAGTAATAACTACAAGTGCAGCTCTTCATTATCTTCTTTACACAGCAGTTACTTCTTTCTGCATTCTATGGCAGCAATGTAAGTGCCTTTATTGACTCTCCTATCTGGAAAATATCACATGACACAAGGGAACGAACCTCATTAAAGTCTGTACATGGAGATAAAGAATACTCACAGTTCCAGAAGGGTGCTGTCTGCCAGTGGTTATTATCGTGGGTAAAACATGTGAGTCCAGGAAGGCTGCATTCATCTCCTTTCTTCTGGCGCCTCTTTCCTTTTCTCTCCTTCTTTCTCCTGCGGTTCTCTTTGAATAGCTGAAGTTTGCTATCCACCTCCTGCGCTGCTTCTCTATTCAGAAGGGAAGCAGTTTGTAGTTCCCATAGAATAATTTCTATTTGTATCACAATGATGTGACACTGTATCCATATTATTATGTTATGATTATAGCATAATTACAATGTATATTATGCAAGGTATCATTGGAAAAAGTTCTGATATGCTGAATACGATTATCCTGTTTATAAACATGCATCATTTTTGTAGATGAATTTATGAATATTGACTATGTAGCTCTATGTGAAATATAGTTACACCTGGGTAATGCTCACTGGACAAGATGCTTTCAGTCTACATAGCTAGGTGAGGAAGGGCCTATTAAGAGTAATAGGTCATTGGAAAAATAAAAACAGGCCTTAGAAAAAGCTTACCCCTATCCAGTTAGCTCTCTTGAGTATGCTTCAAACAGCCTGTGAGTGATGGCTTTTATGACTCTACAGGGACATTAGACCAAGTCACATGATGCAAGACTTTATCTTGAGAGGTCAGTGTTTTCCCAAAATTGGTCATGGAACCAAGCTTTCAAACAAAGGGTTCCTGCCATATACTAGTCCTGGGGAAATTCTGCAATTGTTGCATTTGGAACAAAAGCTTACGAATATATAAGGTAGGGAGTGACATCATCCACGATTCTTCATTTCCCACTTAAGAAGATTACTGGAAACCCCTGAGAAACAAGACTGAAGTAGGGGAAGCACTGGACCCAGGCTAAAAGGATTTCTAGCCTGCAAATGAAACATCTGGTGATTCCAAATTGTTAAGCAAGTGCAATTTGGCCATTAAGAATCTGCAGTCTGCATGCATCATCTCTTAGGGTGAGAATCTGCTATTCAAAAACAATCTATTTAGTATATTAAGTTTGGTTTACTTTTATGTTTATTTGCTAAGTACAGGCAGTCCCCGGGTTACGTACAAGATAGGGACTGTAGGTTTGTTCTTAAGTTGAATTTGTATGTAAGTCGGAACTGGTACATATTGTAGGGGAAACTCTACCAAACATTTTTTTTTTAGTTTTGGATAGCATAGGGAAAGGTTAACTCCCCTCTAATGTTTGTTTTGCTGTCTGTTCCCCTGTTCAGAAGATTTCACATCTATTTCTGTCCCTGTGACAAACTCAGGACTAAAGGAGTAACTCATCAAATACCAAACAGCTCTGCACCATGCTTTGAGCTAATAGCTTTATTTCCACACACCACCCAGGGTTCTAGGAGGAGGGTCCTTTTTTTGCTAACACAATGAGGCCAGCACTTTGTTTGTTTTGGTGGAGTCTTTGTTTGCCCAGGGAGCCCAGCATGTATAGGGGGAGGAGGGGCGGAGAGGCTGCTTTTGTCTGCTGTTCGGCAGCCTGTTGCTCAGGGGAGGGGGCAGCCTGTTGCTGGCAGGGGGGGGGGGGGAGGCACTTTTCCTCTGCCCGGCAGCTCTGCGGGACCCCAGTCGGAGCTGGCCCGAGGAGGAGGAGGATCCTAGGACCCAGGTGAGCGAGCCCCAGGAATGCTGCTGCGCATGTGCAGGAGTTGCCTCACCCCGTTCGTATCTAGGGATCCGACGTAAGTCGGATCCACGTAAGTCGGGGACTGCCTGTAATCTGCATTGATCTGTTTGCTGTCCCTTATGATCACTTAAATTTTTTTGTAGTTAATAAACTTGTTTTGCTTTATCAAACCACTGAGTTGGAGTGAAGTGTATGGGAATCTTAGCTCCAAGGACCAAAGTTGTTGCATATTCCTCTCCACACTGAAGGAAGGGATGACTTTTATGAGCAGCGCAAAATGGTATAATTTGGAGTTTACACTCCAGAGGGGGTGCATCCCTGTGGAGCTTGGACTGACCTTATCCGTAGCTACTTAGAAAGCCTGCATGTAACTGCAGCTGGGTATGTCCCTACCTGTATGTATGTGGATGAAAGTCCAGGCTGCAGGACTTTGCAGCGTCTCACAACAGTACAGTGTGAGAGGGAGCCCAGGCTGGTCGGTCAGAGGGGTCAGTGGTCCCCAGATCCAGGTGGCACCCCGGGGCAAACACACCACAAAAGACTTTAACAATTATTTTGAGTTTTGAAAAGGCTAAATGCTTGAAACTATGTACCAGAGAGGGTGCTTAGATAGGGATGGTCATTCGCTCTCCCTCATCCCCTTATTCTCTTAACATTGTGAGAATATGCTTTCTTCACAAGTAAACTGGACGTATTAAGTACAGGAAGTAAAGGTAACGGGACCCAACTAAAGGTTCACAGAATGATTCATTCCATCCATTTCAATAGGATTTATGCCATTGTTTTTAATTTCCCAATGCCCATCCTGAGCTTCTGAGGTTTCAAATTCAGCAGCTCATCAGAGGTTGTCATCTTCTGTTATCCATCAGAAAACCACCATTTTGGAATGTGGATCAACACTGATATTTCCCAGTTACTAAAAAACAAAATAAAACTAATGCCCTGCTGATAGCAAAGGAAAAAATTACACTTACTTGAATGGATGAAGGTGGCTTTTCAGTTTCTCTCGGGCCTTCACACCTTTTTCTTTGTTGTAATAGCTACAGATAATATGAAAAACAGCTGCTTTGCATGACTCGATAAAACTTAACTCATTTTCTGAAGTTAATGCAAAAGCCATTCTGTTTTGTTTCACTAGCAGGGATGACTTGCATGACCACACCACACACTACATCAAAATTATTAATAGAGATGGATACAAATATATGACCAGAATCCAAATGCACCAATATTCTAAAATACAGATCTGGACCGTAATTCATTCATGATGGCTTCTATCTCTACAATGGGTTAAAGCAAAACCCTGGATCCAAATTTTGAGGAATTTTGGGTCTGAATCCAATTTTGCAGCTTGAATGCATATCTAGATATTAAGCTCACATTTGCCAATGTTAACTCTTTCTCACGGCATAAAAGCTCATAAGTTCCTAGAGAAATCAGTAAGACAAAGTGCTACTGGTAATTTTTTCTTACCTTTGTTTGCTACAATCACATTCATCAGGTTTTCTTCTTTTTAGGTGTCCTCTCACTTCCCTTAAATTCTTAATTTTATCTTGGAGAGCTTCAATCTGCAAAGCACATGTATATGACAAGTTACACTGTGATGACATAAGAATTCAGAATTTTTATTCTGAACAAATTTTGAAATCCTTCTAACCTCCTTATCAATGTAGGTCTTGTGGTCCTTCCAGGCTCTCGGTGATTGGTATAGTTCCCTCTCACAGTGAATGGTATCATTTGGAAGAATAAAACACCTAAAGATGCAAATATTGGGAATCATTTAACAGAACATCAGAGAGAGATCCATAGCTTTCCTTCTGTCCATCTGCCTCTTCCCCTTCTTCCAACATCTCTTCGGGTATGTTTATACTACGGGACAAAGTTGAATTAAGATATGCAACTGCAGCTACGATAATTGCATAGCTGAAGTTGAAGTAGCTTAACTCAGCTTTTGGCGCTGTCTACACAATTTAATTAGTCAAAGGAAGAACACTCTTCCTTACTCCTTGTGAAAGCAGGGTTACCGGCATCGATCTTCAAATTAGCTGTCTTAACTTGACTGCTAATTCAATCCCTGGAAGATCGATATCGGCAGCTTTGATCTTCCTCTGAAGTGTAGACGTACCCTTCCTCTGTAGTGTAGATGTACCCTTCCTGTCCTCTCCTCCCCATAAAGTTTTCCAGTTGCACTTTGCCTTATGGTAGGTAAGAAAATTAACCAGAGGTGGCCGAACGTATTCACCCTTTGAGCCACAGACTATAATCTTCAGAAGTTCAAGAGTTGGACACCCCTGCCAGGTCTTGGAGCTTCTGCCCTGTGTCAGGTCATGGAGTCTGCAACTGAAGCTCCAAGCTGCAGTAGATGCCTCCAGTGAGGCTGAAGTCCCTAGATCCTTTTCCCTGATGGGTAGACACTTCTAGCTCCACCACCCTACCTCAGGACAGAGGCCTAGAGCTCTCCCGCCCTCAGTCTGGTAGGTGTAGAATGGAAGAGGTGGAGGTGAGGAGGGTCACAAGTGCACTTTCATTGTAAAAGAACTGCTTGTGACTTAGGTGCCACAGTTTGGCCATCCCTGAATTAGACTCAGTAATGACAGCCAGCGATGGGTGTTGGTTTGGCAGTCCCCTCAAATTGCCTCCTTCTGTTTTCTCTCCGTCATGGAGAAAACTCCTTTTAGACATCGGCTCTATGCTACATTAAGCTACAACCACATTCACATGTCAGAGATGCTCATCCCAATCAGAAACAAACCAAAGTATAAAACTGCATCAGCTTCTTAATCGCCACTGCTTATACAAGCACCAGCTGTGGAGAGGTAGGGTTTTTCCTATCTTTTCACACGTAGTGAATTTCCACTTAGAAGTTTCCACCTAGGAGCATAAAATTTCCACCTAGGAGCATAAAATTGGTAAGAATGTGACATGATTGTCTAAAGTAATGAATGAACAACTCATCAATTTGCTATGTTACACACTTCAAGTGGTAAAAAATGCGAACAGTTGGGCGCTAAAGTATCTGTAACTGATGAACAAAATAACTGGATTAAAGGCAGCTGTTTGGGATAACAGTTCTAGCAAGGGAAAACAACAATGAAAAAGCCAACACTGACTTAACTGAGAATATCTAGTGTTTCTGTAGCTGTACTGGCCCCAGAGTTTCAGAGAAACAAAGGTGGGTGAAGTAATATTTTTTATTGGACCACTTCTGGTGATGAGAGAGACAAGCTCAAAGCTACACAGATCTTTTTAGGTAACCTGAAAAAGAACTTTGCTTAACTCAAAAACTTCTCTCCCCCACGCCAACAAAAATTGATCCAATAAAAGATATTACTTCACTCACCTTGTATATTTCACTGAAACTAGAGAGAAACATCAACAGACTGTTTCCCCAAAGTTTCCCTTATTGGCATTCCCATACTGCTTCTTTAACTGTACATTTCTATGAATACACCCTTCACCTGTCATGCTTCAGTTGACTCTCTAGCTATGACTATACTACCAGGTTATTTCAAAATAAGCTTATTTCGAAATAATAAGGTGAGTGCCCACACTACCAAGCCTATTATTTTGAAATAATAACTACTGTTTGTGAAGCAGCAGCAGCTTATTTTGAAATAGTTATTTTTGGAGTGATTATTTCAAAATAACCTGGTAGTGTAGACATAGCCTCAGGCCTCTCCTCCAGAAGAAAATGGAAAGTCATAGACTCATAGGAGTTAAGAGATGGAAAAGGTATACTGACTCTCCTACTCTTACTCTTGTCATTGCAAGTGAGTTATTAATTATATAGCTGTGTGGACATTTTCTGATAATTCATTCTTTATTTGGAAAGTATTGATTTGTTTAACCCAGAACTGTTTGTGCAAAAGAGCCAGTTGTGATTAATTTCCCGGTTTGAAAAACTTTGAAAAAATGTTTCATTTTCTGGTCTGAAACAACATTTTGTTTGGGAACATTAGTTAATGTATAGTAAAAAATTTAAAAACCATAGATAGTCAAAGCAGAAACAAACACTTAAGACATTATCCAAATGAAATGTTTTGATTGGCTTTGGTCCCTTTTTTGATTGAATTATTGATTTTCATTTTTTGAGAGTTTTACTGTTTGTCTTGATTTGGGATGGGAAATTTTTTTAAATTTCAAAAAGTCTTGCAGGATAGGAAAACTATTTGCTGTTCACCTCTATTCAATGGTGCAGAGGTTTAACTTGCTTTATTTAAGTCTCTGGTGCCAAGTCCATTAATTAATACACACAGCCGGGAAAACTGGAAGCACTAGTCCCAATTCTGCCCTCACTTACAGAGGTACAGATGTGTAGGAGAGGGCCAAAGTATAAAATAATTATTTTATTATATTACCGAGTCGTGTTATGTAAATGGTAAAATATTGAATAACAGAAAGAAAAAAAGATAAAGAAGCAAATGCAGAATATGGGATATAATTTACTTTAAGGATAACCAGACAAAGCATTCATACTTGTGTGTCACTCTGACAGAATCAGATTGGCCAACAGCATTGGTGCCATCAGCTATCATTTCCTCTTCCACAGCACCACCACCATCATCACTATCTTCTGAATCCTCATTTTCAGTGTCATGACGCTTACTAATACTTTTGGACTGTAACACCTGTAGTTCTTCCTCCTCCAGGTTTATGTCAAATATTTCACCTTCAAATTCCACAGACAAGGACCGAGTTTGGCGAGTGTGAACAAATCGGGGTTTGTATTCTGCACAGAAAAGGAAAACATATTCATGCTCATAGGTATACAAAACAATGGATTTCATAAACTGGCAGCAAATTTCAAAAGGAAAGAAGGAAGGATGGATTTGCAATAAAGCACAAACTTGTAGATCTCACATCTATTTCTGGCCTTGCAAAGACTGTCTTGGTGTTCTTTAGCAGGAAATTCAGGTCCACATTTGCAGAGGTGATCTCTTATTTTGGGTGCTGTAATTTTTACGTTTATACATCTAGGGCCTGATTTTCAGACAAGTTGAGCATCCGCATCTGCAGCTGAAACCAGTGGGAGGAGGGTGCAGAGGTCCAAAATCACTTGTTTAAGAGATGGCAGCTCTTTTTGCTTTCAAAGTTAGACATTAAAAGGAGAAGATTCATTTATGTAGCTGAGGTGGCTTTTCAAGGTATAAGCAAATCATAGCTCCCTCGTATTTTACTGCACTGCAGATCTAGAAATGACAAGATTTTCCTATTCTCATTGAGATCCAGCACTCATTTCTATCCCCAGAAAGACCTAAGCCTCTGGACTTAGAAATGTCACAACTTTAAAGTACAGAAATGTATAGGAATACAGACATTTTTATGGCTTGCTGGAAGTGCTGTACATGCTGACTTGTGGTAACTAGGTCACCTGGCTAGAAAATGGAGATATTAAAAAAGCTTCCCAAATAACATATTACATACCCTCTACAGCATTGTTAAGGTGGTTTTGTTTGGCTAGTTTTTTACTGTTGAACACATGGCATACATGGAATATATGATGGTATATTAAAGTTTATTTGCACTAAAATTGCATGACCTCCACTACACGTTTTACAGTGTATGAGCAATGTTGATATCCCAAACGCACTTTGATAAAACACATAAACTACACCACACTGTGTTGCATTCTACCCCTGGCCTCCCCATACCCCTTACTTGCACCAAGTAATGTATTTACTCTATATTTGAGAGAGTTTCCCTGTCTGTCTGTTCAAGAACTCCTCCTAAACAGTAAGAGCTAGGACAACCAAATTTGGTATGCAGCTTCCTCTTATCATAACATAAAGCCAAGGTAAAGGTTTGGTTGTGCCAGGAAAATGTAATGTGCCTGGAATGGGACTGCCTTTCAGAAAACCATACAGAAAAGAAACAGAATTACCAGGCAAGTGAAAAGGGCTGGCTTGGGGTACTTCCGCCAGTACAGGATTACTGAGAAGAGTTATAAAGGGATTTCATGTAACGGGGTGTCAGAGCAACAAAATGGCAAAATGAAGTTCAGAGCTAATGAAAGTAGTGCATATAGAAAACATAATCCCAACTGCACATACAAAAAGATGGGGCCTAAATTAGCTGTTACCACTCAAGAAAGAGATCTTGGAGTTACTGTGACTAGTTCTCTGAAAACAACCACTTAATGTGCAGTAGCAGTAAAAAAAAAAGTGTTTGGAAGTTAGGAATCATTAAAAAAATGGATAAATAATAAGACAGTGAATATCAGAAGGCCACTGATATTTTCATTGATCTCTCAATGAAATTAATAGGCAGAAGAATTCAAAACAAACAAAAGCAAGTACTTCTTCACACACAATTGTCCTATAGAACTCGTAGCTGTGTAACTATAACTAAATTTTAAAAAGAATTTGGTAAGTTCATGCAGGATAGGATCATCAGTGTCTATTAACCAAAATGCTTTGGGGTGCAACTTTATGCTCCAGAGGTCCATAAGTCTCTGGCTACCCAGATGCTGGGACTGGATGACAGAGACAACTTGATAATTGCCCTTTTCTGTTCATGTCCTTTGAAGCATATTACTTGCCACAGTTGGAAGGCAGGATACAGGGTTTGATGGACCACCAGTCTTACCCAGTATGGTCACTCTTATTATCTTATGTTAATTTACACCTGCTTTCTAATTATGTTTTCTAGTTATGTTTCTCAGTCCTTAATATAAAAAATTAATTTTGAAACTCGACGGCAGTTTCTGTTTCTATCAAACTCCACTAGAGGGCACTGGAGTCTAACTCTTTAAGTTACAAGCAGGTAATTTTATTGACCTTTGAAAGCTTCAGCTATCATTTTGACAGAAATCAGTATGCTTTAATGTCAGAGTTGCAAAAACCAAAACAACAAAAAAGTCTACCGTAAATATTGGGACAATACTACAACTGAATATTAGCGATAAAAGAAAACACTTGCTCAGGCTACCTCTGCAATACCGTAATTACAGAGATTTTGTAATTTACAGTACTCTGTTTTATCCCCAAAGCATACAATAGGTGGCACCAAAGCATCATCATTGCTATAATAGTGATAACGGATTCTGGTTGTTCTGAGTTTTTTAAAAGCAGTAATTACTCAAGAACTGACTGCAAACTACATGTGCATTTAACATATAGCCAGGTGAAAATAATTCCTTTCTGATGAAATGCCACTCAGTAAACCCAGTGCCCCCTTCCTGATTACCTAGGAGAGTTGAGATCACCTACTTTGGACACTGGGGTTCCTTGGGAATTGTCTTTGATTTTTTCTCTGGGTCCTGCTGGTTCGGTAGTCAGCATCTGCACAGTTGCATTCTTTGTCTTTACTGCTGTACGCCTGGGCGTGTATGCTTCGTGTTCTCTTTCTGATGGTGAGCATGTCACTAGATCCCTTACACTTGTGAATGCGAAGCTTTCCAGAAGAATCCTCAATGCACTGCCACTTCTGTGAGAGGAAAAATAAAGATGCATTCCCAGTGCTATTCCAACCTCTGTCCAACCTTTTTTTTTTTTTTTTTTTTTTTTTTTGGTAGAGGATTTAAGAACACTGTAAAGATTAAATTCATACACATTTGTCTCAAACCATTCTCTCATCCTAGGCAAACATGAACTTGAATGAAATCATTGGAAATCTGCATAAAAAATACAACCCAGCCAAAAAAGATACATAAATCAAGGGAATCTAGACTAAACACATCCTTGAAAAGAACAAGTAAAAAGCCTTAATTTACTGAGCCACAGAGTCCATCTGTCAGGGTTGTCTTCAATGACCCTCCCTCCCCTTTTTTCTTTGAAAATACAAGCACTGTTTCTTTGTTCTGTGACTTGGAATTTCTAACATGAATCAGGAAAAAAATGTAGATGAGCGAGAAAGATTGAGATAGGTCAATTAGAGGGTTCAATGAAAAAGGGACAAATTCTGATCTGATTTATGTCAATGCATGGAACAATTAACTCACTCTCTTAACAGAGTCCAGTGTCATGACCTACATCTTTTAGTGTGTCCACCCAAATCTTGTAGCCACAAACACCAAAAATTGCTGTCTCCATACATTTTATGTGCAAGGACGGAGGAAAAAAAGCAAGTGTATTACATCCCCAGTCATGCTCTACTAGACTGCACCACAGGTGTAACCAATATGCCAAACATCTGCAGAATAGATCATAGGAAGCATATTGGAGAAGGGAGGGGAAGACCCTTAGGGATAGACAGAGTGTGAGCATGGACATTTTCATCTGGATGACTCTGCTTTGCTGTTTATATCAATCTTGAGGGAAAGCAGTTTGCTCTGGAAGGGAATTGCTGAGACCAGCTTTGCACACTTTGTGAGATTCATAGTGAGGAATTAGAGAAAGCAGAATTCCTTCCAACTGGTCTGCACAATGTCTGTCTGGTTCTAGTGCCAACAGCCCTGAATCCAAGTGGAAGATTCCACCTGAATTTTTGCACAGGGGTCCACTGTTTTCTCATTTGAATATTAGAAAGCAGTTGGGCTTTTTCTTCCTTTCCACATGGTATTTGTCTTAAAAAGCTATGATCAAGAAAGACATTTAAAGCTCTTAGCCCACTTCTATTAGGAGACACAGAGCTATACTGCCACAGATTGCGTTATTTTAGTTATTTTACCATGGCAAATGTTTATTGTGGACCATTTGCTTAAAAGTGCCTCCAAGGGACTGAGAACTGCCTTGCTATTGGTTCATAGTGCTCTGGACACAGTCAATGGCAAGGTGTATATATGGAAACAATCTGTTGCCAATATAATTCCTTGTATGTCAACATAACTGGTTGTACACAAGGGTCTTGCACTGATTTAACATTATCTGTTTCTAAACTGACAGAGTTAAATCAGTGCAAACAGTGTATGTAGGCAGGCCCATCAGTCAACATGTTCACAGGCTTTAGTACCTAATGTTAAATAATAAATGCATAGTTAGGCACCTAAATAAAATTGGCCTGATTTTCAGAGCTGCTGGACATCTTCAGCTTGCATCTTATAAACAACTAAATGAAGCAGGCCACTTGAATTAGGTTCTTTGGTAGGAATTTGAGTGTTTAATTCAGTGTTTGAAAACTGTGGTCTTAATGCATCTCTAACAAAATGATGGGGGACAATACTGTGAGGAGTGATTTAGAATCTTATACATTGCTTCCAACACATTGTTATTATTACTACTAATACATACCCTTGAAGCTGGGCATACTAAATACACTGCATTACCATCACAGATACTTTGTTTTCTTGCAATGCTTGGACTTCTCTGCCACTGGTGGTCCTCCATGTGGTGGTTCTAAGGCTCCTGAGGATTTCCTCAAACTGACGTATTCCTAGTGGGAATTATCCTTATGGCAAAATGAGAGCTGCATGCAGTTCCTCCTGGAATCCCTCAACCCTACTCCCACAGTACAGCCATACAACTTTCTTCCATCAAATAATGGCTTCTCTGTTTCTGAGGTATTCCCAGAATAGTTGAAGGGTGAAGGAAATAGACTGAATGTGAAACTTACACACCTGTCTAGCATCACTGCTAAAACAAATCCTGAAATGAACTTCGTATATGTCCCTATGAAAACAATAGCCATATGGTTTACAGCAATGTAAAAGAGAAATAAGAAGCTAAGTCAATTCTTTAGTACCCTATATATAACCATAGCCAACTTTGCAAATAAAAGCTCAATGCCTGAAGTCAACTGCAGCTTAGTTTAATAACAGCAACACATCTTTATTCACTTATGTTTTCCAATACTGATTATGAATCACAGCACTGTGATAGCTCACTCCGGCTTTGTGTGTCATGAAATGAGCTAAAGATCCTATATCCAATAAGAAAATAATCTCTTCAATATGTTTACCTTATTTTGACTGATCTAGTTACAGTAAGTTACATCTGAAAGAGAAAACCCTATATGTATTTGCTTGTTTTCTAAAATATTACAATTGTATAGACACTTCCATATAAGGCCCTACTAAAAGGATTGGCAAGAGCCATAATCATTTGCACGTACACCTCAAGGTTAACTTCTACATGCTTCTTAATTCAACAGAAAAATGTGGCCATCATTATAGATATTTACAGGATGGTAGCAGAGAAGATATAAATATTAGATATATGTTAGGTAAACATTAGAAATAAAAACCTGGCATTATTTTACTACTATTTAAAAATGCAGGACTATATAAAATGCAGAATAATTTTATTTTTTCCTAAAATGAAGTATATAAGCAGCTGAAATACTTAATTCCTCCATTAAAGGTTGATTCAAAGTTTTATTAAATCTTTCCCACCTCTTGTAGGATCTGTTTAAAAAGAAAACTACCTATGCACGGATTTAAAATATGTATTAAATATATTTCATAGCATGAATGAATGGTGTTCATAAAAAAAGGTATCTAAGCATGAAACCGTTTAGAATTCTACAATGGAATTTTCTTAATATCAGAGATTCCATATCCGTGACAGAATAGTTATGAACTGACCACGTGCAGGCCTGCTGATGAGAGTGGTGGTGGGAGGGAAGGGCAAAGGGCGTAACTACCTGAGGGCTTGGTGATTCCAGGTGTGGCGGCCAGAGATCTGGGCCCTTTAAATTGATGCCAGAGTGCAATGCCGCACAGTCCAGGCAGCCCTAAGGGCTAGAGAAGGGCACTTCAGGAGACACTCCAGGCTGGCTTTCCTGTCCCCGCCCCTGCCAGGAGCATGAAGCTGGCACCCACCCGCACCTTCCCCAGGGGCCTGCAGAGGCTGTTGTCACCCCAATGATGTGTTATGCAAGATTTCAGACTAGAATACTATAATGGTCCCTTCTGGTCTTAAAATCTATACACAGCATAAATGAGTAGAAAAAATTTCCCCCAAAGATGCCCTTTACCAGGTCTCTGGATCCCTCCACCAAGGTTATATCAACACAAAATGTAGGCACATGCACAAATGAAACATTTATTTGATGACTCATATGTTTTCTTATTTTTCCCATACTTATTTTCTTCCCAGTTTCTCATTCTTTTAATACTTTTCTATTCCCCCTTACAACTTCCTTTTTTCTTCTCAACTACAGGTGTCTACTTTTTTTTTTCATTCTCTTTTCGCTGCTCGTGTGTCAGTTTATTTCTTATCTCACGTTCTCTAATCTCTTTCCTACCTTCACCTGTGTGCTCTCCTTTCATGTTTTCCCCTCTTTCTGGTTTCCTTCCTACTCTTCAACTTAACTACTGAAGTGAATGTATGGGAGAAAGTGACTATTCAGCACCCATTATGGATGGAGTCACGAGTCTTTATAGAGTCTTTAAACACAGGACACATGTTTATGTACATCAATTTCAAGGGAGTGGTGCCAGTTTATATCAGTTGGAAAAATGGTCCTTACTCTCCACCTGGAGCTTAGATGCCTTGGTTTCAATAGTATCTTGCAGGTGCCTCTGCAGAGCTACCTCCTCCACATGGATAGAAGATCCAGTGGCAGCTCAGAGAAGGAAGATGTAATGAAATAATAAATGTTGCTAATAAGCAGCAGCCACTTGGCTTTGCTCAGGAGCTGAAATTCAGCTGCATGACAACAGATGCACATACCTCAATGGGAATGCTGGATCTGGCATTACAGTTCAAGAGCAACAATAAAAAAAAGAAAGGAGTACTAAATCTTGTCCTTAGATGACTTCACTGGCAGTTATGCATTTGCACTTGATGGCAAAATTTGGCCCTGATTGGGTAAATTTAAAGGTGCAGGGGACCAGATGCACCAACTAAAAAGTTGCTGTGAGTACATGATTCCTTAACTATATATTAGTTCTGGCCCAGCTCCAATCTTAACTTAAACTCTCCATTAACAAGACACACAACTGTGAATAAATTAACAAAAGTATTTCTGCCTGGGCTTTGAATTTCCAAATTCCTATTGGTTTGTACCTCAACCTCAAAATAAGTCATATGGCTTTATTCAGTATAATTCAGGCACTATGTACGTGTGTGCACACATACACCAATATCTTTCCTTACTGCATAATAAATACCCCACTTAAGAAGCATTTAAAATGAACATTGTTTAACCTAATAGACTGTGACAGCTCTGAGAGAGTTGCTGCAGCCTATCATATAGGGAGGAAATTAGACAATTTGTGAAAGGTGTCTTAGCAGTAGGCATTCTCAAAGTTTTATCAAAGGTAATTACTGCGCATTTGCACCAGACACTTTCATGTTAAATACACAGGCAAGTTTTATAACCAAGCTATAAACCTCTGAAAACGAGGCAACCGGAAATATAACACAGCTACAATGCTTTTACAGGTGCTGTCTAATTTCTGCAATGTTCCCTTTAATAAGCAACTTTGAATATTGCTTTTCAGGCTGGAGGTGTTTAAGAAAAAGCACGTGGTAGGGTAAAGAGTGCATTTAAAAGCAACTTTAAAATCGCACTCCCTTCACCTTTCTGTTAGTACTGATTATGAC